TACAGATATATATATATATATATATATATATATACACATACACATGCTAGCTACAAATACTGAGACTTCTGATATTGTTCTGAGAATTCAAAACAAGGAATCGAGGTCTAGTTATTGACAATTTGACTTGCATATATAATGGTAGAGAAGAGGAAGGCTGGACCACTTGATACATTGCAAGTTGTGATGGTGACTGGTGGAGTTTGGTAGGCAGGTTCTTAGAAACAGCCCTTGTGGAATTGTGAAGAAAGATTTAAGCACCACCCCTCTGGCAGAAATCCAGAAAAACATTTCTATAAGTTCAGAGAGATGAGCTAATGTGTTTCAGGGGCTATACATGCCCCCTTCATCAGAAGTGGAGAAAAATAGGATTAAGGACTAGACTAGGCTTTGTGATCAGATAAATAGATGGATGATAAGGACTGGTGTAATAAAACCACCACAGGACCAGAGCATTGTTTCTTCTTAATTTTTTCAAACACACATGTATAAAGTCTGATTTTTTTTTTTGTATAAAAAAATGACACCCCCAAACAATGATTTGTTTTCTAAAAGAGGACATGTAGAATAGACAAATGGTAGCTACAGTTTGGTTAAGTTGCAAAATATTTGAGCAAAATCAATATTTGTAGAAAAAAATACACCAAAATGAATTTTACTGCACACAAACATAACATATTACCCAATTTTTGTAAATATAAAAGATGGGGTTACATTGAGTAAAACAATACGAAAGATGTCAAGCCTTAAATCTGCGTGCACGTGCAATGGTGAAAATCTCAAAATGGTCCATAAGCTACGCTTTAAAAGCCTTTGCTCATCAATTTAGAAGTAACAGCAAATTATGGCCTTAGAATTATAGCTCTCACTCCAACAATACCTAACGTGGTGCAATTGCTGTTTACATACATACTGATTTTCATATTTTTTTTTTTATTCCTTACTTTTCAATACTATTGGGTCTATTCACAAAGCAGCCGAAGGATCTAGCTGTGGCCGATCCTTCGGCTAGCTTTGGCCCCAGGACCCCTTCGGTTCAGTAGAACCGAAGGGCTGCTGTACGGGCTATTCAGTATAGCCCGTACAGCTCCCGAACTTGGCCGAGCGGCTCAGCCAAGCCGAAGGCATATGCCTCTGCTCGACTGAGCCGCGCTGAAAGCCGAAGCTGGGCGAGCGGCCGGCCATTGGCCGGCTGACAGCCTGCTTCTGTCAGCTGGGCGTAGCCAGCTGCGATAATACGGCTGGCTCTGGCCCCTTGCAGAGAGATCAGCGTCCCTGGTTATCAGCTAACCAGGGACATTGATCTCCAGACAGCCTAACTCTCCCGCTCAAATCTGTCACTGTTAGCTCCGCACAATCGTTTTCTATTTTCTACTTTTTTAACTATTTTTCTCTTCTGCTCGGTACCACAGAGGGAGCGAGCAGAACAGCCGAGCTGAATGCCGCTAAGCGGCATTCGGCTAGTCACTCACTGCTGTTCGGCATCTATAAGAATAGACCGAACAGCAGCGAGTAGCCTGCCGGAGGTTCAGCTTAGCCGATCCAGATGTTGGATCGGCTGAGTCGAACTCCTTCTGCACTTCGGGCTGAGCATGTTCGGCCGACCCAAAGCCACGTGAAGCCACCAGATATGCGGCTGAAATCAGCCGTACTAGCCTGAAGTGAATAGCCTACGGCAGCTTAGTGAATAGACCCCTATGTGATAGAATTGGCAGGTGACATGTTACCTTTATGGAGACATCAGGGATCTAACAAATGGTTCCCAATTCTGTGTTTCTCCAGTCCTGTTAAAGTGGGACCCTTAAAACCCCTCAAAAGCATTGCTCCGACTTGTTGAACCTAAGCAAAATTTATTCTGAACTTTTTCCAGTGGCATGGCAATACCTTAAATCTTCCTTCACAGTATTATTCACACATCATCTGACAAAATAATTCGATTTCAGGTTAAATAATGCAGATAATCTTCGTTTAGAGACATAAGTAGTTGTGAAGTTAAACAGAACATTAATTGTCCTACTGGCCCCTTAATCAATCCGTATTTGATAACCGTTTTAATTGATAAAAAAAAGTTGTTGAATTACAATCTAATATTCTAATCATTAGTTTAACTACAAAGATTCAGTACCATACTCCCATCCTTTGGTTCCCATACATCCCAAGGGGTACAGTAATGAACACTCTGATTTAGCGAAATTATTTTGTTTATTTGGTCTGTATATGATATTCTGTTATCACTTTGCCCTATACTGTCTTAAATCTCTTGATCATTTAAAGATGACGTTTCTGCATGATCACAATGACCTTTCAAAGCTTTTTACTCTCTTGAAGACCCTTGCAGTGGTTAAATTTTTTTTATTTCCTGTTGTTGGGGATATCTGGCAGAGAAGCACCTCATTTGTCTTCATTTATATTGCTTATTAGTAAATGTACGTTACTGATAATTATTTATTTGTAAAACATAAACCTTTCAGAGCTATAAACTTACTGTTGATAGACTCCGTGTGATATTCAATATCTGTAAAATGGCTCATTTTTTGGATTTGGAAACAGTTTTAAGACTAATCATAGCAATTCAAATGAGTTCTTGGTGTATAGTCTATAAAATGCTAGCTAACACTTACTCGTATATATATCAAAAGGGGGAAAGAGAAAGAAAGGGGCTTTGTGGTGACCACTGGAGAATAGCAGGGAATTGATCCAATAATAAAGTCAATTGATTCATATATATAATAAAATTCCATTTTTAATATACTCAATTCATAATGTCTATACATATAAATATGCTAAAATTCATCCATATAAAAAACCATAATCTTGGGGATTTAAAAAATAAGATCTCTGCTCTTGAGTTCCCCGGTCTTCACAACTGCCCTTGTGGCCTTTGCTAGAAGGTTTTTGGTCATTTTATATAATGGAGAATGTAAAGCAGAAGCTGGAACACTAATATAAGTTAAGGAGAAGTGGTCAGGAAGTGCGGGTGGAACAGGACAGAAGTTGTGAATTTTGGCAGGGAAATCTTGCAGGTGGAGAACCCAAGATATACAAAGCCAGGGGCTGACAGGCCACTAGGCTCCACTTAAAACTAAAATATAACCTTCTGATTAACTGACCCTTTAAGACATAATCAACATGGATAGCTGAAATTCATCTGGCTACCTTGTATTTGTCATTTGCTTCCTAAATTCCTTTTTTTTCTTTTTACATTAACTCAAAAGGAACTTATACAAAGCAACCCACAACTCTGCCTCTGACTATATCTCCAACCTTGTCTCAAAGGGTCTCAACATATCACAACTGTCCTTTCCGTACCTAACAAGACCTCCTGCACTTTAGCTTCCTCATCTACTCCTCCCATGCTCACTTCCAAGACTTCTCTAGAGTATTTCCCATCCCCTGGAACTCCCTACCCCAACTCTTCCTGCTGTCTCCCATCTTCTCTGCCTTTAGGTGATTCTTCATCTTTTCAGGGAAGCCTACCGCACCTCTACCTAATAGCTGAGCTATTAATCTCTCAAACAACTCATTCACACACAGCTACCACTTTTTGTATTTCTTGTCCCTCCCTTTTAGATTGTCAGCTCTCACAGGCAGGGCTCTCCTAGCCATCTAATCTTGAATTTTATTGGAACTTTAGAACTGTAATGTCTTCCTTATATTGTAAAGCCCTGCACAAACTGTTGATGCTATATGAGTATTCTAATAATAGTAATAATAATACTTTAATCATACGCAGTCAAGTTTCTAGAGGACTTGAGAACCAACAGATATGGAAATATTATATCCCATTTCGTGTGTCCTTGTGCTCCCTATATGTAAAAGACTACTGTCCTTGACTTGTATTAGCCTAGCCTATGTTTACTGCCAATCCCCAAAGCTCTAAGGTCCAGCCCATCTGATGTGTTTTTTTTTGGGTCAGGCTTCATTGCAGGGCACAGGAAAATGGAATATAAATGAACTATGGAATAAAAAAGAGGATTGTGTCTTGCTTGCATTATGCTGCTGATCTATAGATTTAATACTGTCAGTTCTTTGTAGCTCTAGATAGCTTAACTACCCAAGCATACCAATCCAAATAGGATCTAGAGGATCAGATTCAAGAAGATGATTACTTAGTGAATGG